ATTTGTAAAAGCGAAGTCTTTGTAAGTTATATCCCATAATAAAAATTTGATTTGATTTGACCCAAAAAATGGGGGAAGGATAACCTATCTGATCAAATTTCAATAATTTCCATCGGGTAACACAATTAAGTGCTCACAAGCATCATGGCTATTGGTAAACAACGAGAAGTCGTCAGAAGAGTGGATCCAATTTCGCAGTAGAACAGCTCCTCATATAAGAGGTTCCGGAATGCTGGTGATGACTAATTTTGCGGTAAATTTTAGAGTAAAGAAAATTCGTACAGTCATGTGAGGTGTTCAGAGGAAATAAGGAAGCCTAATACGATCTGTAGGGGAGAGTAATTTGGTCAAATTTTTTCGTATTCTCACGCGAGCTTGTAACCTGACGACTGATGGCATTCTACCAATTACTGCTCGCGACTTGTTGTCCAATCCTAGCATTACTTATACAGCTGTGGTAACAGACTCGTGCATGGTACAATAGACATGAATTTAAACAACGGGAACAAGCCCACAAGAGACATAAGAAAGATAGTACATACGAGTGTCCTTGTGATCACATGAAGATTGGAATCGACAACCCGATCACAGCTACTTTCGAATTACCATAAGTAACTCATCCTTACTTGAGGATAAGTAGACTCCGTGGATAAGACTGTACATGTAAAATTATACATTAACTAAGCATCCCCAGCACCGATCAGCGATTGTTCTTTCGAGAACGCGACTCTACATTGTCGAGGTGATTTTGAAGAAAATATTAAATGAGTCGTATTTTTTTACTACAGAGAAACATTTTACTTGGTAAACATCATTCATGTCCTCAAACATTTTTCCTGATAGTCTGTGACGTTTTCATTGGTAAAGCAGTGCCCACCGGTCCATGGTTGGTTAGCACAACAAGAATTTCGAGTTAATGACAGTTATTTGTTTATCTGCTGTAACCTTTTAATATCCGGGAGAGACTAGACGGCATCCATCGTGAAACAATCGACCAAACAGTATATCCGAAGCAAGCAGAAATGGTAAAACGTTCGATGGCCAGAACCACTACTCACCTGATCCAAGAATTCAGATGGACTGACTACTTCGGTACAACCGTATGTGACACGCCTAGCACCAACCCCGGAAGAGATAGACCCAGCCAAGGACGAAGAGGAGGAAGAAAGTGCAGCTGAGGGGTCCGTCGATCCAGGACCACCACTCGCGTTCGTAGAGCCGGTCATACCACTCAGATTGGTCCCCGAGGCAGTGGACACGGTGGTTGCAGAACCACCCGAGCTTTCTCGGGTCCAATCGAGTAAGTTTTGATATTCCACGTAAGAACCACCGCCAATAACGAACACAAATGCCTCATAGAAAGGTTGCTTGAATCGGGGCAAGTCACTGGGTTGGGGTAAAGACAGTCACTTGTAAATTTATGGCAAACTGCTTTGATCGATTACAGAAAGCTAGATTTTAGGCAATAAAAAGCACTTATACACCAAAACTTTTCGGATAATGCACCTATTGCGCAACATGCTTAGGCGTTCTGAATTTAAGTATAGTTCTTTCAAAGGACGCAGTATTGTCCAATCCACGGTTGTCACAGGGCCGATACTCATCCCGAAAGCCTCTAGAAATGTACCGGAAGAAAAAGAAGTCATACATCTCGAAAAGCTTTTACCAACGATTACTCCATTATGGTGTGCGCTTGTAATTAAAATCAGAAAACATTGGTCGTTCTTGAATAGACAACAAGTCTTGTAATCTCAGACAATCCATTGCGAGCATTCCAATTCGTTGTAGTGAGGACGCCGCTCCTAGAGGTCAATTATGGTTGGATATAGACGTCATTACGGAAGAGGAATCGACCGATAGGGGGTGTACGACAATTATAACTACAGGATAGCCTCTGAAAAACAAAATCTCGATTCGAGCACATGACGGGCGATCTGCGCACTGCTAGTGATGCGGCCGACAGCAACAGCAAGTTTATGTGGCTCCAAATTATCACTCAATTTCAGTTTCAGTTTCAGTTTTTACAACCTTTAACCATGCACTTTCGTGCGCCGGTTTTGGTTGCTGCCTTTTAGTTGCCCATTTGGATAAAAGAGCGAAATGAAGATTGGAATGTCGAAGCAAATTCAAGCGGAAGATGGAGAATCCATATAGAGTGGAGTTAGGAAAATAACGAGTGGATGCAAGAGCGCCACTGTTTGCGACACCCAGCCATATCATTCAGTGTAGCTAACGATCGGTGATCATCATCCCGAGGTCCCCAGCCAGGGAGCCTAACGGGGCCTATGTGATCTAGTCTCCTGGTTAGGGTTTTCTTACCCTCATGCCAGGTCTTAGTTTGACCACCCTTCGTTTTTTTCAATCGCTCCCAGCCTTGGCAAACATCGTTCGCCGCGGCAACCTGTCTGGCGACATACTGTGTTGTGTGTATTGTGTATAACTTTTGCAAGCACTGGAGCTCACATTTCAGTTAAAAAGCAT